GTGGCGCGGCTGGCCGGGCTTTGTTCCTGAAAGCCTTTAGGTGGAGAGCGATCTGGGGTGTGGGTGGGGGCGCGCGTGGGACAACCTGGGCGACCCCCTTCTTCCCGCCAAGCAAGCGGATGACCTCGCCTCTCCCCTGGGATCCCCCTGAACGCTCTTGCTAGGAAGGGGGCCTTAGGAGGGCGCGGGCGACATGACGTTGAAGGTCTTCCTGTGGCTTCTGTTAAGAAACGTTCACGTGGGAGCCTGTCCACATGGGCTGCCTTTAAAGGAGCTGGGCACGAGGAAGATAGAGCGCAGCAGCCTAGGGTTGGAAGGGTCATTCACTCCATTACCTGTTCTAAATAATACCAAGAGATACAAAACATACGTATTTTTTTTTTTTAACGGTAGGTTTTGCCGTCTTTTTAAAACTTTCACTTCTGTCTTCCCTTGTTAAGTACACCTAGTTTTGCCTTGCAACTGAATCATTGGAACAAAACCAGCATGTGATCTGTTTACATTATAGCTGTGTTTTCTTTTTGCATATGTAAGTTCCACGTAATTAAGAACAAGTATTGGGAAAGCTGCAGATCAAGACTCCTGCCTACCGTTTTATATTTGGACTCCCCATTTTACAAATATTTGATTACCTTGCTATGAGTCAGTCACTTTTTCTAGACCTTGGGAATCAATCCATGCCAGACAATCCACAGCCTACATGTACCGAATATTCCAGTAGTGAGAAACAAATGCTCTGTGGGAAGTGCTATGAAGAAAATAGTGATGTACTGGCAAGGACTCTCAACATTTTTGCGCAGTGAACCCTTGAATGATGGTTTTAAACATATTTAGAATTACAGAATTACAACCAGTTATGTTGAAATGGTTACCGAGATATTAAGTATTTATGTTGAAGTGATTCATGCTTTAGTAAAGTATCAAGAGTAGTGGCTGGGGGACCAGCAGTTAGCGTAATGGCTATGTCGCTGGACTCCCACGCAGTGGATCACGGTTCGAGTCCCGATCCGGTGGCTTAAACTCAGGCCAGGCACGTGTGCATGGGTACCCAAGATCCAGAGAGGAGAAGGGATTGGGGCGTGGCCATCCCCCCTGGGGGGTGATTTCTCGCTTTCTGTTTCACTGTCTCTGTCTGCCAAGCGAGTGCATGTACCCTATAGCAAAAAGCTCTTCAAAAAAAGAAAAAACTAAACAAAACAAAGAGTAGTGGCTGGAACCAGCAGTTGGCATAATGGCTGTGTTGCCAAGCTCCCATGTAGTCCACCGCAGTTGGACTCCCCGACCCAGTGGCCTGAACTTATGCCGTGCGTGTGTGTATACATGCCCAAGATCCTGAGAGGAGAAGGGATTGTGGTGTGGCCATCCACCTCTGTCTTTTTGGCGAGTACATGAGCTCTATAGCAAAAAACTACCCCCACACACACAAAAAATGAAAAAAATAAAAAAGGCTGATCTATTAATGACTAATTTCAAACTAGTGAGGACTGAAAAAAAGATCTTTTTGGAATTTAATTCATTATAGCTAATTTCAATCAGATACTATTTAATGTTTGCCTGCATTTGTAATCTAAAGACTAACTCAGGGTTTAATTAAAATTAAGAGTTTATCTTGTCACTATCAAAATTCAAATACCTTCTGAATTTCATCCATACATCTGGTTAGGAATTCCCTTGCATGGGAACAGCAGATGATCCAATGGTTATGTCTCTAGACTCTCACCTGGTTGACCAAATTCCAGCCCCAGACTCAGGAAAAGAATGGAAAAGGGATTGTGGCATGACCATCCCCCCTGAGGGTGATTTCTCCCTTTCTGTCTTTCTGTCTCTCTGATGAGCTCACATGCCCTACAGCAAAAATCTCTCTACCAAGAAAAAAAAAAGAATTCCATTGCAAGAATGACATGCTACTTTAGAATGACATTTTAGGAGGTGGCATGAAATACTTCAGGATAACCTGTATAGTTCTTTGTTAAACCAATTAATATTCCAGTAAAAGCATACATGGTTCTTCCCCTGATTTGTTGTTTGAAGTGGCCACACATTGCAAGTACAATGAGGGGACTGGTTTGTGGAAGAATGGAATTAAAATACAACTTTATTTTAATGCAAAAAATATTGAAACCTATGCATTTTAAAAAGTCTATTCTCCATGAACTTTTTGAAGACCTCGTGAACTCTAGGTGGAGTTTCCCTAAAAGATCCCCTTGGAATCTAGGGGATTTTTTTAAAAAGGTAATTTATGGAGAAAATGATAGATTAATACTATATCAAGGAAGATTATTCAACAGTTGAAATGATCATTTGCTTTTACATGAAGAGAATTTACCTTGGTAATATTCTATTCCCTTTACCCTTTTATCCTCTGTACTGGGCAGTATTGGAAATAATTTAGGCCTTTGCAGTGAAATTAAGCGTTCAAAACTTTGAGCTATTACGAAGTAGTTAATTGGTTACCTTGAGCAAGTAAGTGGCTTTACCTGAACTTTATATTTGTGAACATAAGGTACTAAAAAACTTATCTCACGGGTTTACTGTAACCATTAAATGGGATGAGTCAGAGTCACAGGTAGTTAATCATTTTACCTTTTCTCTTTTCTAAACATTTCAGTTTTTCTTTCATGGTTAAAGATCTACTTTTTCTTTTTCCCTTACACTTCATTTCCCCAGTGAGATTTGACCCCATTCTTTATATCATACCCATGGAAATTTATTTTCTCTCTTGCATTTTCTAATTTATTACATATATACATCTTGTTTTCCCTGCCAAATAATTTCTTGAGTGACATGATTCACATTTTTGTCACGTAGCCCTCATGACACGTTCAATGAATGTGCAAAAAGCTTGTCAAGTTCTTTAATAACGTTTAAAATGTTAAGTGAAACAAAAATTTAGCATTAACTTAAGGAAATACTTTGGATAAAAATGTCAAGCCTCATCTGTGTAGTGCCTACCTCAAGAATGGAAATGCCATGAATTTTGTATTATACCAAAGGAACATTATCACCAGTGCATTATAAGCTGGTATCTAGAAGTCAAAGATGCAAAAGAAAGTACACAGTAGGAAATACATGAGAAATGTAGATAATAGAGGCAGCCAGTTCTTCAACTAATCTTAGTCATCTTTCATTAGAAATTCTTACTAAAAATGTGCCTCGGTTGAAGGTTTACAGCTCAAAGCTGCCCAAGCCTAAGCTTCAACAGTTTGATGCTGCCCCCTAGTGTTTGATTTCCCTTGAAGTTTTCCTGAGATGCGCTTTCCCCTTTTTCCTAAAACAATACACTTTTAAATTAGTTTAGATGCACTAGTGCTATTAATCTAGTCTACCTTGGGATTTCCTCCAGCAGCTTAGTGTTGTCAGTAAGACAGGGTTAGTCTTTTAGAATTGGTTGATTTTGATTGCTTTTAGCCAACATTTTTCCAAATAAGGGTGGATTTTGGGTGGAGAGAGACCAATACGTGCAGGATGTGTGGGGTGTTTTATCAAAATGGGAAGAAGGTAACATATTAAATATGTATCTTTGATGGTAGCTTTGTATATGAGCAAGAAGTTTTAGTATTTAATGTGTGCTTCTCATCTTGAGAAAATTGAAATGAAAATCTGTTTTCTGACTTAATTTAGTTCCACATAACTTTGCATTGCTGAAGCTGTACTGATAATAAAGTTCAAAAGTACTAAATTTATAGTTTTTTAAATTTTTTTTGCTATAGGGCACGTGTGCTTGCCAGAGAGACAAAGAGACAGAAAACGAGAAGCCACCCCTCAGAGGGGATGGCCATACCACAATCCCTTCTCCTCCATTCTCCTCTTGGCATCTTAGGCAAGCCCTCAATTTCTTGTTCCATAGCTGGTTACTTTACTTTAGTTTGTTGTTCCTTTTTTTGTGGGGTGGGCGAGACAGTGAAAGATAATTTTAGAAAAGGAAACTAAGATTTTTGGCTTAAATCAAAATTTCTGTGAAACTTTTTCCAAGACCTCCATGTACCCTAAATAAGTAACAACACTCCCCATGTCTTAACATCTAGCCACGTTAGATACTTTCCAATTTCCATGTTGTGCTGGATGTCTTTCTTCAAAATCATTTTTTCTCCTTTCTTCACTCGGCAAAGCCTTCTTCCTCCTGCAAAACCAGGTTCAAATGCTGCCCTGGGACACCTTCCATGAGTCCCTACAGAATTAATGATTTGTTCATTCATTCATTTAATCATTTACTGGCTTGACTTGTGTACTGAGAACATACTAAATTCATTAGCTTA